AGGGATTTAAAATCCATGTGGATGTGGCACCTGGGGACCTGAGGTGGCCTTGGCAGTGCTGGGGATGGTTGGGGTTGATGATCCCAGAGGGGTTTTCCAACCCCAACAATTCCATGATTCTCAGCCACCACTGCTGTGGCTTTGGGGTGGATGTCCCCAGGTGCTGTGGCCGAGGAGCCTGTGCCACCATGTCCTGAGGACAGAGGGGACAGGCAGCAGGGAGTCCCCTCCTGCAGCTCTGCTGGGGTGTTTCGTGTCTGTCGGCAGAAATTCCGAGGTTTTTCCTTTTATTCCGTTTGGATTCGTTCCCCTGAGCTGTTCCATGTGCTGGTGGGAGCTGCTTGGAGGTTTCCCGTGCCAAGGGACAGGCCTGGCCAGGTGGCCCCGGTGGCACTGGCACCTCTCCCTGCTGCAGAGAGCGGGGACCCGCGGAGCACGCCCCGGAGAGGGACGGGCAGCCCGAGGTGCCACCCTGCCACCCCGGGGTGGTGGCATCCCTCCAGCGAGCTCCAGCTGGCCGGGGATTCATCCATCGTTTATCGCGCTGGGTGGGAATGATGCTCCTTGCTTCTCCTGCTCCTGGAAATCCGCCGGAGCCAGCGCTGGGATCCGTCCCGCTGCTCCCCGCCGTGGGAAGCGGCTGCCGGGGCCGGCCGGGCTCCGGGTGCCGGGGAGGACGCTGCAATTAGCAGCAGCGGTAATTAGCACCGCGGGGTCACGGCGCGGTCACCGCCCCAAGGGCTTTGGGAGCTCTCCAAGGAACCGGGAGAGGAGAGAGGGAGAAGAAAGGGATGGAACCGGGAGAGGAGAGAGGGAAGAAAGGGATGGAACCGGGAGAGGAGAGAGAGAGGGAAGAAAGGGATGGAACCGGGAGAGGAGAGAGAGAGAGAAAAAAGGGATGGAACCGGGAGAGGGGAGAGAGAGAGAAAAAAGGGATGGAACCGGGAGAGGAGAGAGAGGGGAGAAAGGGATGGAACCGGGAGAGGAGAGAGAGGGGAGAAAGGGATGGAACCGGGAGAGGAGA